TGTTCATTACAGAGTGAACAACATGCTTGCCAAGTTTTTTTAAGATACTAAGTGTTCTCTGAACATATACTAGTTTTGCTATGAAGTAGGCTGTTAGTGATATTTTCTTGCATTCCTCATTGTACCTATTTTTCAGCCATACCTTTAAGCATGAACACACCCCTGATCTGCCATCTGAGTAAGTAAAGTTTTTAAGTTACTTTCTTTGAAATTCTATCAGCATGAAATAGTATTGTTGCGTCAGCGAGGTCACGTGACTAGTATCACGCCACGTATTTCTAGAAATATCCTGTTCCTTCAAGAATGCCCTAGCATTTACTAGATATATGTTAGTCTGGTATATATATAAGACGCTCACAACGTGACGGGGGAACAGTGTAGTTAATGAGAAATTGAATGTATTCGGACAAAATATAGTTGGCCATGTGAGACGTGAATTATAGTGTTGTTATAGAGCGACTGTTGAAACTAAGTGTATCGTAAAGTTGTATTCGGAAAGAATAAACCAGTTTTATTTAAGAAAGGACTTGTGTCGCTAAAGTTTTGTCGGAACGAATTTACGGAAAATTAAATTAACTAACGACTGGAGGCGTAACAAATTGGTGTCAGAAGTGGGATAAAAAAAATGGAAACGAGAAGTGCCAAATCAAACTACAGCATAGCAGACTTGATGGCAGCAATACAAGAGCAGCAAAAGAAACAAGAAGAACGAGAAAATAAACAAGAAAAGAAACAAAAAGAGGAGAGATTACAGCAGTTGTTAGAGGAAAAAGAAAAGAAACATGAAGAACGAGAAAAGAGACAAGAAGAAAGATTACAGCATTGGCAAGAAAACCCACAACAATGGCAGCTCGAACAGCAAAATAAACAAGAGAGACTACACCAGTTGTTGGAGGAGAAAAAAATAAACAAGAAGAGAAATTACGGCAGTTATTGAAGGAAAAAGAAAAGAAACAAGAAGAGAGACAACAGCAGTTTCAAGAAAACCTGCAACAGTGGCAGCACGAACAGCAAAATAAACAAGAAGATAAATTACAGCAGATGTTGGAGGAGAAAGAACATAAACAAGGCGAGCGACTACAGCAGTGGCAACTGGAACAAGAAAGGAAACAAGAAGTACAAATGGAAAATATTAGTAAATTTAAAAGCGAATTAGATACGTTAAAGGACGATTTATTGTCTTTTACACAAGGAGGATACATTAATCATCGACTTAACCAGCCCCAGACAATGACAAGCCCCTTCCAGACCCTGCAGCTAAACCCAAATGCAGCCACATTCAGTCCCGTTAGAAGTCACATCCTAGATATGAATGTCAGTACTAGGAGTGATCCAGTACCAAGGAAACCACAGGAATACGATGGGAGAGCACCATAGGAAG